TGGGAGTACAGGTCCCTTCCTGTCTGAGAGTAGCTGGAAAATTATACATATATATTGTGGGCTTTTTTTTTTTTAAACATATGTGGCTGAGTTCAGATTATTTCAAAATAATTTGCAACCATTTCAGGTAATTTCCTGGATAACAGAAGCAACAAGAAATAGCCTTTTAAAAAAAGAATTTAAAAAGCGTATTTTTAGAATAGCAAAGGTAACCTCATACCAAATGCATGATGCCAGTTTACAATACTTCAAATGGTCCAAAACGGCCAGAAAATCCACTTAGCTGCTTTGGAGAAATTCTAATGAGACTGAAATGATGATACAAGTCAGCCAATTCTGTCCTGGGAAAGAAGGTCAACACAATATGTCTCCTGGCCCGCAGTTAGGACAGCCTGACAATACTGTTTATGTTGTTTTCCTTCTTTTTATGGTTAAAGACAGCATCAGTTTTAATTTGTGTTACTTGAAGAAACAAATCTAGGAACAAAATAACATCTGGCTTTTTTATTTAAGACACCATTAATTCTTAGATTTGTTCAATATTTTCCCTTTCTCAGATTTTATGTTCTCCCTCTCTCTCTCTCTCTCTCTCTCTCTCTCTCTCTCTCTCTCTCTTGACCATCAAGATGAATTACCTCACTATGTCATCCAGTGTACTCTAGAATTCATGATTCTCCTGTCTCAGCCTCCTTAGTGCTGGGCTTACAAGGCTTGTACAATCAGGCCTGGTTTTACCCTTCCTTTTTAGACTAAAGGGTTTTTTTTTTTTTTTTCTTTTTTTTTCTTATTTTGAATTGACACATAGCATTTTTGGAGCCAGTGAGTCTTATGCTTGTAAGATTGTGTGTGTGTGTGTGTGTGTGTGTGTGTGTGTGTGTGTGTGTGTGTGTGTGTTTTGTTTTTTGTTTTGTTTTGTTTTTTTGCTTTGGCCACTAGGAAACTCTGGATGGATTCTGGGGACCTGTACGTTTCTCTGGAACCAAGTCACCTACACGCTCCTACCTCTGGATTTCTTACTTGTTAAAAGTGTTTATTGATTCTTGGAAGTTACCTTCCACTCTTTGACATCTGAAAAAAGGAGGTAACATGAACAGACTGAGAGAAAGGTGGGGGTGAAACTCTGCTTTCCTTTGGGGTTGGGTCTCCAATGCTGTCAGCATCTCTGCTTTGTTTCACCTCATCCCAGGACCCCACCCAGTGCCAGGCTTCTCAATGTCCAATGGGGAAGGCAGCCAAGGAGTTACTTAGCAAGAGACCCAGGGCACTCATCTTCCAAACTTGGGGAAAATGGCCCTGCTCTCTGGGAGCAGTTTGCCTATGTCCTACTCTGAGGGGAGCATGTGAGATAGGCCCTACAGGCTGGCAATTGGGCCACACAACGAATAGGTCTGCCAGCCCAATGGTCCTGGGGTGAATAATGCTCAAATTTACAAATGCCCCCTTCCTCCTTTTCTCCTTCTTCCTTCTCCTCCCTCCTTTTCTCTCCCTCTGTTCCTTTTCTTACCTCCCATCCTTCTCTTCTCTCCTCCCTCTTTCCTTTCCTTCCCTCCCTCATCCCCTCCTCTTTCTTTCCTCTTTTACCCTCCTTCCTCTCTCCTCTTCCTCTCCTCCCTATCTCCTCTTACCCTCCTTTCCCTTCTCTCCCCCTCTTCTATTTCCCCTCTTCTTCCATTTCTCCCCCTTCTACTTACCCTTCCAGATCTCCCTGGAGGCACTTCTCTGAGATCTGACATCCAGTGATGTCATCCACTTGGAAAACAACTGCTGAGTTGCATCTCCTCCCTTGCCTGGCCCACATCTGGCCCTCTCCTTCGGAGTGAGTCAGGGAATCACATTTGAAAACATCCATTTCCTCTAAAGGATTCTGCTGTAAGAACTCCATAGACCCACAGCTTCATCTTCAAGGAAAAGCTAAGCCAAGCTCTCTCTTCTACAGTCTGCTTAGCTAATAAGATTCCTAAGCAAACACAGGTAAAGTGGAAGGCTGTGCTGCCGATTGCAGCATAGAACGAATATACTCTGCCACATCGAAGGCTCGCAGCGTATTTCTCCTGCAGAACCCTGCAGATCCACAGGCCCCGTTGCTGCCTGACTGTTTCTAGAAAAGAGAAAAACGGCGGCTCCTGTCCTAGGTTCTTCCCAAAAGGCTTTAGGACAACAGACATTTCTGACACGTCAAGTACAGGTGATTAAAGCAGGCCTATGTAAATCAGTTAATATCTGTAATTTCCCTTGTTCTCCAATGCTATTAGTTATTTCAAGGGTAAAAAAGGATGTTTTAGTTAATTTTTTTGAATCTTACTAGGTACCCGTAGCTTAACTTAATGATTTGTATAAGTGATAGTAATTGCTAGGACTACGGTCGAGTATTATTAGCTATAAAATGAACATGGTTATATGTTCAACAGAACTAGCAAGGGACAGAAATGCAGTTGTATCCAAGAGAAAATAATTACAGCAATAATCAGTGTAATTCATGATAATGGCTGAATTGAATTTCACACCATAGCTCCAAGCACTTACATTTAATGAATGTAGTTTGTGCTTGTTGACTAAAAAGGTTTTTAGCAGAAAATCGATAATGTAACTTCAGTGTTTCTAATTGCGTTTGCAATTATTTTTTTTTAAAGTAGCGGTTCAATAAGGATTTTGTAGAGAAAATTGAGGTATGTGAGTGCCGTGAATGCTGGTGTGTTAATTACTCTTCCTGTACATTAGTGCTGCAGTGCCTTAATATCTATTTATTACAACATATTGATTAAAATGGATTTGTATTCAATTTTAAGGCTAGCTAATGTAATGGACATTGAGACTTTTCTGGAAGCATTGGCTGGGATTACAACAAGTCACTGGTGTAATGAGGCTTCCTCCAAGAGGCGATTTCAGAATCCATTGGACAAAGCTAGTGGTGGGGCCAGGAATGGGGAGGACCAGAATGTGCACTAGATTCCACAGAGAGTAGCAAGGACATGTCGCCCCAGACACAGAAGTGGTGAGGAGTCACAGCCTTGTTTGGGATAACTCCTATGTTTTTTTTTTTTTTTTTTTTTTCTGAGTCTGAGGATGCCAGGATCCCCCCAGGATAAAGCTTTTTGGCAGAATGTGTTCTTATTTTGGAGAGGCTGAGGAACCCTGTACTGCTTTAGCCTCAAGATCTTGGAGGAAGAAGGAAGGCCTTATGTAGGTACCACATTTGTGGTTCCCACTGGTGTTAGATGGACCATCAGTCTTTGCTTGACTGTGATTCATTTAAACATTATTCTCAAGCCAGTGGTGGTAGCACATGCCTTTACTTCCAGCACTAGGGAGGCAGAGGCAGGAGGATCTCTGTGAGTTTGAGCCCAGCCTGGTCTAATGGTAGCACATGCCTTTACTTCCAGCACTAGGGAGGCAGAGACAGGAGGATCTCTGTGAGTTTGAGCCCAGCCTGGTCTACAGAGTGAGTTCCAGGACAGCCAGGGCTACACAGAGTATATATATTACACAGAGTATACACACACACACACACACACACACACACACACACACACACGCGCGCGCGCGCGCGCGTGTGTGTGTGTGTGTGTGTGTGTGTGTGTGTGTGTGTGTTACACTGGAGTGTCTTAAAGGAGTAGAGGTAAGGGATTCTTTTGTTGTTGTTGTTTTGAGACAAGATTTCTCTGTGTAGTCCTGGAGGTCCTGGAACTCTGTAGACCAGGCTGGCCTTGAACTCACTGAGCTTTGACTGGTTTGGAATGAAGGTGTGTGCCACCACCACCCAGTTAAGGTGAGGGGTTGTTTAAGGACATGAGTGCCTCACTAGTGTCTATGCCTCTGAAGAAAATTCTTCCCCCTGATCATTTCCTGTCTATAAAGCCTTAGAGAGGGGCAGAGCCTTGAGGGCTCCTTCTTGTCTCCAAGACAGAATGATTTAATATTCTTGGCCAAGTGAGCTGGCATTTTGAAGCCCGTTTACATAGAGTGGGATGCCTTACTCAGCCTTGATGTGGGGAGGGGTTGGGACTTGGTCCTGCCTCAACTGAATGTGCCAGGCCTTATTGACTCCCCAAGGGAGGCCTTACCCTTTCTGAGGAGTGGATGGGGTGGGTTGGGGGGAAGAGAGGAGGTGGGGAGGGGAGGGAGGGGGAACCGTGGTTGGTATGTAAAATGAATAAAAAATAAAATAAAAATAATCTTGGCCAAAATTAATCCTGTGCTTTTGGTAGAATGGCCATTTTTACCATGTTAATTTTACTGATCAATGAACATGGGAGATCTTTCCATCTTCTGATATCTTCTTCAATCTCTTTCCTCAAAGCTTGAAGTTTTACTCTATAAGCTTTTCACTTGCTTAGTTAGATGTATCTTATATTATTTTAGGCTATTGTAAAGGTGTTGTTTCCCTTATTTCTTTCCCAGCCCATTTGTCATTTGTATATAGGAGGGCCACTGATTTTTGTGAGCTAATCTATTGTTCAGCTACTTGGCTGAAAATGTTTATCATCTGTAGGAGTTCCCTGGTGGAATTTTTAGGGTCATTTATGTAGACCATCATATCATCTGCAAATAATGATACTTTGATTTTTTCCTTTCCATTGTATCCCCTTGATCTTCTTCAGTTGTTTTATTTGCTCTAGGTAGAACTTCAAGCTTTATATTGAATAGGTATGCCTTGTCTTATTCCTGATTTTGGTGGAATTGCTTTGAGTTTCTCTCAATTTAAGTTGATGTTGCTATAGGTTTGCTGTAAATTGCTTTGATATTTTTTTTTTTTTGTATCCAAGGTTGGTTTTATGAGAAAAGAAACAAATGCCAAGAGAAGTAGGAAGTTAGGGCACAATAATCTTCGCTGGCAGAGTTGATTACTCCTTGATAGACGTGGTCAATCCATAAATGGAGATTCCAGATACAAATGATCAAAAAGAGGGATTGTCACCTACCCCAAGGCCACAGACAGAAGGAATTCTGGGTCCCAGAGTGTGTCTGAAAAGTGGAACCCTTTGAAAGACAGCTGTGACAGGTGTCTCTCAGATAGATACCAGGTCACTGGTAGGGAAGGATAGCAGGGAGTTGGCTCAGAACACTGGAGGACCCTGAGGTAGCGCTCGAAGTTCAATGAGGACACGGCTTCACAGCTTTTTGGAGGGAAACTCTCGTCGACCTTGACCCTTGCCACCAAAGTTGCGCACACGATGGATGATCTGCAGCTGCTGCTCGATGGTGGCAGTGATGTTCACGTCATCTGGGATATGGACATATCGGACATTACGGCCTGTCACAAAGAGGTCATCCAGCTCAACTTGATGTCCCCAGCGGTCGGTATAGGTGACATTGGCCAGTCGGATGTTCATGAAAGCATCAACATTGTCAATTCGTCCTCGGGCCGAACTCTCATCTTGAAGGTCCACCGTGGTTATCTGGCCCTGGAGGCCCTCGTCTCCTAGAAGCCATGGCAACCGGGGACATAATTTTGGTTTTTTGAGACAGGGTTTCTCTGTGTAGCCTTGGCTATTGCTGTGGAACAACCTTTGTACATTATAAATATGTACTACTCTCATTGGTTAATAAAGAGCTGACTGGCCTAAAGCTGGGCAGGAAGAGATTGAGTGGGAGAGCCAGACTAGGAGGACTCTGGGAAGAAGGCTGGAGTCTGAGGAGTCTTAAGCCAGATGCAGATGAAGCAAGAGATGAATATGCCGTGCTGAAAGAAAGTATGCCATATAGCAGAGGATAGATAAGAAACATGGGTTAATTTAAGTTGTAAGAGCTAGTTAGTAACAAGCATAAGCTATTGGCCAAGCTTTTATATTTAATAAGAAGTCTTTGGTGGTTATTTGGGAGCTGGTCAGTGGGACCAAAAACTCTACCTACAGCTGTTCTGGAACTTACTCTGTAGACCAGGCTGGCCTTGGTAAATTGTCTTTATTATGTTTAGGTAATGTCCTTTGTATCCCTAATCTTGTTAAGACTTTTATCATGAAGGGGTATTGAATTTTGTCAAAGGCCTTTTCAGCATCTAATGAGATGATCATGAGGTTTTTTTCTTTTTTCTTTTTGGTTTTTCAAGACAGGGTTTCTCTGTGTAGCTTTAGAGCCTATCCTGGCACTCGCTCTGGAGACCAGGCTGGCCTCGAACTCACAGAGATCTACCTGCCTCTGCCTCCCGAGTGCTGGGATTAAAGGAGTGCACCACCAACACCCGGCAAGGTTTTTTTCTTTCAGTTTGTTTATATGGTGGATTACAGTTATTGATTTTCATATATTGAACCATCCCTGCATTTCTGGGATGAAGCCTACTTGATCCTGGTTGATGATCTTTTTTGATATATTCTTGGATTAGGTTTTCAAATATTTTGAAATTTTTATATCTATGTTAATAAGGGAAATAGGTGTGTAATTATTTCTTTGTTGGGTCTTTATGTGGTTTGGGTATCAGGGTAATGTTAATCTAAGTATTTGATATGTATTAACTTTAAATTCATTTAAATAAAAATAAATGATGTATTTTCAAAAACAAAACTAATCCTGGGCCTCACCTTCTTTCCTTTTTGATGGTGTAGTCATCACCACCACTATCTGCTTCCTCTCCTTTGATGTCTTTTCTGAGGTCTATAGGATCTGCTCTTGCAAGACACAGTGGGGATTTACACACAAGATAATGTGGATTAGCTTCAAGAAGCTGAAAATCCCCTAGGGACCAGCCTTTGGGACACATGCTTTGGGCAGGATTTCCAGCTTTGCCTTGATGGAATACTGGCATTACTACTTCAAAACCAAATGTAATTTCAAACTTCTCCTGTGGAGAATGGAGTAGGAGTGTGTACCACAGAAAACAACATTGATGGGCTATTGAAATCCACAAGGATTTAACAGTTAAAAAAAGTGTGTGTGTGTGTGTGTGTGTGTGTGTGTGTGTGTGTTGACCTATACCTGTGTCTGCTTTGGCCAGAGATCAGCACTGAATGCTTGCTCTGCCACTGTCTACCTTGTTTTTTGAGTCAGGGCTTTTTTTTTTTTTTTGAGACAGGGCTTCTCTGTGGCTTTGGAGGCTGTCCTGGAAGTAGCTCTTGTAGACCAGGCTGGTCTCAAACTCACAGAGATCTGTCTACCTCTGGCTCCCTCCCAAGTGCTGGGACCAAAGGTGTTTGCCTCACCGCCTGGCTGAGTCAGGGCTTCTTAATGAATATGTAACTCATCATTTTAGCTAGATGGAGTGGCCATGAGTTGCCCAGGCTCCCCATGTTTCTAACCCTGTCCCCCCAGTGCTAAGGTTACATGTGTGTTGCCATGCCTGGTTTTTCTGTTGGTGCTGAAGATCCAAACTCAGGTAGGTCCTCATTCTTGCCTGGCTAACACTTTTCCTGCTGAGTCATCTTCCCAGCTTCCCAAAGGTCTTAACTCCTAACTCACACAATACTGCCAAGGGTGCTGCAAGAAGGGCTGCAACTCCGCCTCTAACATCATCTTTTATTAGAGTTGTATTCAACACAGCCCAGGCAAGGAGCATGTTGAGTGTCTGGGTCACCAGACCTGGGTTACTGGCCTTTTAGAGAACTGTTTCCTCCAGTGACTGGCTGGGCCTCCATCACTCCAAAAGAGGCTTTCTTAAGAATCCAGGGCTCATCAGCTAGTGGCCTCTTCTGACTTCCTGTGGCTATCAGACATGGGGCCACCAGCTAAGTACTGACTGATTGTGGTGTATGTCAGGTGTACCATACGGGTCATCTGCTTTTATAACTCTGAGTCAGTCAAGGATGATCTCATTTTCCAGATGAGGACAGTGAGACTCTATTGGGGCAAGTTGGTCCCGGTGGAGACAGCTGTAAGGTTAATGGAAAAGGTGGAGTTAGTTCCTCTGCCTTTCTGTGCTCTTCACTGACTTGTTAGCATGTGTCCTATACACACCACCACCAACAATGAGGTCTAGCCATCCTTCCTCCTCCCTTAACCCCATGCCCTGTTCCTAAATCACTGTTTAGCTAATGATTTATATGTTAAGGTACAGGTGGCCTCTCCTTTCATGTCAGGCTTGGGCTTTTGCAGACTCTGGAGGCTGAGGTATGATCTGGAGCTTACACAGGGCATTTCAATGTCTTGGAACCACATTGGCACTCATACGCTAGAAAACACCTGTTTCCCAGAGGAAACAGGAAAGAGGAGGGGGGCACTGTGGTGATATGTCATTTATGATTTATTAAAGCTTGCCTGAGGATTCAGAAACCAAAGTCATCCACAAGCCATAGAAGCCAGGCACACACCTTTAATCCCAGCAGCTAGAAACTAGGAGGTGGTACACACCTTTAATCCTAGAACTGGGGATTAAGAGGTAGATCGATATCTCTGAGTTCAAGGCCACCCAGGTATACACGAGATTGAATCAGTCTAAAAGAGTTAACAGATTGCATGCCTTAAATCCCAGCCCTAGAGGGGTATAAAGAACGAAGCAGGGTCTTCAGTAGTCAGTAGGAGGCATTCATTCTCCAGCCACATTGAGGAAAGAGACATTCATTCTTCAGCCACGCCAAGGAGAGGTTACTGTCCAAGGCTTGGTGAGAGCTTGTAGAGACAGGATCAGCCCATTCAGCCTGGGGTAGAGGTAAGAAGCTAGTAGCCAGATGCTTTGCTTTTCTGATCATCAATTTGCAGTTTGATATCAGTCTCTGGGGTCTTTTATTTTTTGTGTTATAGGGTGGCTTGTCAGGACAGAGTGATGGGTGGGGGTGGGAAGAAGAATTTTCATGCCACTGGACATCTACTGTATTCTTTACTTCTTGAAGTCAATTCCAGTGTCTGCAATGGGGGAGTTAATGATGGTCCTTGCATTGACTTGCCCCCCCCCCCCAGCCTCCTGTCAAGGCTGGGCTGAGAGCGTCTCTTATTCTCCCTGGATTTTGGGAACTTTTGTGACCATTGACATTTGACACAGGCTTTCACCATGTATGCAACTGAGGCTGGCCTTGAACTTAGGGTGGTTCTCCTGCCTCAGCCTCCTCAGCTAGGGTTATAGTCATGGACTATTGTGCTGGGCACCACGATTTGGAAACTTCAAAGTGTTTGGAAAGGATAGTGAATCCGTGTAATTAAAAAGCTGCTAGAATAACAGAGCTGCTGGTATCAGGAGTCTATCCAATCTGCATGAAAATAGCTCGGGAGAAACAGCCCTAGTCCTTTGCTGCCCCAGTGGGGAAACACCCACTTCTTTGATAGACAGTCATTAATCTATGGATTTAAAAACCCACACTTAGCCAACCTTCCTTTATCCCTTTTGGCACATGGTATAAACAGAAAAATATGGCTCCATGGGGCCGACCAGGAGCCCAGGGCTGGCAGAATGATGTCTCTGCTAGACTGGAAAAGACAGACACCCTGACTGTTTGACCAACAAATGTATAGAAAATAGCAGCTGGTAAGTAGCAATTACATAATAATCTTGTCCAAAGAAAATGTGGGCTCAAATTAAGATGATTTCACAGGAAAACATTAAGGTATACAAAGAGTTCTTAATAAATAGAAATAAATAGTGCAGGGTTTGCGCCATGGTTATTTTCGGTGGTTATCTGACCCGTCGCGGCGGCTGTTCAGGTGCATTTTCCTCAGGGCTCAGTGCGGCATTTTGCTCTACAAAAACAACTAGATCCTTTCCAGCCAATGATTACTTGTAATTATGCTTTCCCCTGCTATTATTCTAATAGACCTGTCATGTTGCTGAGAGGACTTGCGTTTGGAATATACAACGGCTTTTATGGATGGACCGCGGGAACACTTAATATCGCCCTATTTTTGAATTATCAAGTTCTATCCTTTTGAAGTCTGTGTTAGTGGAACTCCTATTTATGAGATGTGCTGTGCTTAAAGGTTTGCTATTGATGAAGAGGTCCAACAGAGCCTTTATCGAAAGTACGGCAGCATTCTCCCTGAGAGATAAATAGCCGTGCTAAAAGGTATGGTGTGTACCTAGGCTGCAAATTACTAGCCAAGTACCTCGTCCCAGTATACTTCAAAAATACCTTTATGGTTCTTGTTTGTTCTCCTTTCCATTGAGATGAATGACATTTCTGTAACACAGAGGGGTGAGGCATGCTGTTCGACGCCGGTCATCAGCGTTAATTGCATTGCGGGGGCTCATTTGTTCTGGCACAGGGTGTCTGTCTGAAGACGCGCACACAAGCACAGCTCACAGGCACAAGCAAATTTCGGGAATTTGCTTGGCTTTATGTTGCTTTAGCCAAAAGGTAGACTTGGCTGGATTCCAACACGTTTTGGAGGAGGAAAGGTGTATGCAAATGAATCACCCACCTTGGCACCTGTTCTGGGGAATCTAAGCAAAGCTGGGGGCAGATCAAAGGCCTGTAGCTTTTAGGTGGGGCTGTGTATAGAGTGGGCCTCACTTCTGGGTTGGACAGGCAGCAGTAGAGGCTTAGAATTCTGGGCATAGTCTGA